TTCGACGAGTGCGGCAGCAGCCATCTTGAAATGAATCATCAGGAGGCTAAAAACCCCTTCCCACATATGTCAGATTTCCTTTGAAAGATCTAAAGAGGAGGCGGCACCTTTGTGCCTCCGAGGCAATGCCTTCACGTTTCAATATTCACCCGTACACTTGGGAGAGTCCAACGGGCTGCTGTTTTTCTTCTCCTGGGCGATTAGTCATTCACTTGAAGAGGGCCGTCATTGGAAATCATTCTCGGCTCTTTCGACAGCTCCTCACTTTGTCCCGAGAATGAGTGATTTGTCTGTTTGGCATGAATACGGACCATCAATTATTGAGGGGGGGTGGGGGGGAGACAGTTTCTCAATAATTGCACAAGTCTGTGAAGTGAATGAGACCTTGTGTTTTGGAAAGCACTTAAAAACGATGAAAGCCTCCAAATGGCTTGGAAATGAGACAAGCCACACCCTCTTCCATGTGCTCGATTCTGATAACACCCCGTAAGTGTAGCGGGGGCGGGGGCGGGGGGGGGCTAAACTGAGCTTTCGATGATTTACGGCCGCAAGCAACATCAGCAATACGGTACTGAAAGCAATCTTGTTCCGAACGCGCGAAAGGCTAAATCGTTAAGAAATTCGGTGGCTTGTGTGGAATTGAGTGTTGATTCATCGTGCTTTGAAGCAATTCACGCAAAACGCAGGACACGATTCAACTACAACCGGCACAGACCCTGTTGAGCTACTTGCGACTCTCAGACCGTCCAAAGAGGTTAACGATGTGACGTTTAGCGACGTCCAAGCAGACCGCCCCATACAATGCGAGCATCAAAACAGGAGTCAAAGCCACTCATTGATTGTTTATTTTCCAAGATCAAGGCAATGTCGTCAAAGGTCCACCCCCAGGATGTTTGCCTCATTGATTCCGCAGTGAAACCGTCTTCTGTCTTTGCTGATTTGAAGACTTCATTGACTGATGAGCCGAGTTGTCTCCTGGCTGCATCCTTTTTTCCTCCCATTCAGGTGAAACTAAGGAGGAGGCATCGCCCCCCACTTGCAGTCACGTTGAGGCCACAGCTCTCTTTTGGCGTGAGGCTCATTTTGTTGGTCGGGTCGACTCAGTTTTCGTGAACCCGTCCCTACCTTGCCAAATGGTGACTGAAGTGTTTTCCTTGCTCCAGACAGAGCTCGGCTAAAAGCGAAAAGATTGCCCTTGAAATGTTCTCTGCAGCTGGCTACTCTCACTGATGCCCATTTTACACGCTGGCAAGCTCGGCGTGCTGAGGTTGTTGTTTTTCCAACAGTGAAAAATCGTCCACAGATGCACCTCCGAGCTGAAAAATGGTTCCCTTAGCATTCAACCTACACCACGCAAGGTTTTAATCATAATGTCTCCATTTTTGTTTCAATGCTATCTTTAGTTGTTCAATTCAAACGTATAATTTGGTGACATGGCATCACCTGGTACCTGTCGTATCTCTCATACCTCTCGCTGGTATGAATCAGAATTAAAAAGTTACGTTTTCATTCCGGCTTCTTATTCAGGAGCGACACGCATACGTGCACCAAGGAAACTCATTAAACGCGAGTGTTGGAAAAACATATCTATCATAAATCATTCTAAGATTGTAATAATTAAGTGTTAAATTTTAATGACCCAATTTGTATTCCACTGTTGTGTGGGTACGTCCCATTGCTCAGAATGTAAATCTGCTCATTATTTTGGATGGTTTTGACCCGTTGATTATGACCCCCTGATTTTTTATTTATTTTTTGCTGTTCACTGAAATTATCGTCGCGCCGATTGGGTCACGTTGCTCATGTCAGAGACTTCAAAATGTCGGCTACATTTCACCAGCAATTTTGTGTTGTCCTGTGTGAGAATTTGAATGTCAAGCTTCAGATTTGAGGACGGGAGCCCGAAAGGGAAAGTTGCAGGGTTCATGTTTATTTGTTGAGAGTGTCATTGCCAAACTGACCCCAAAATAAGCACGGTATGGGCTTGGCGGACCTCTGCTCGCTCAGAATCGAATGCGTTCGGATTTCAACCCATCTGTTGCGCGATCGGGTTCTTTTGACCCATACGCCGCTCTTGAGCCTTTCATGGCTGGCCACCTTTTGAGCGATTGCGAACCGAACTGGAGGACGTGTAGAGCCAAATGGGCAACATTCCAAAGCGCGGGATTGTTTCAGTGGCCAAAGAGTCGACATAACTGTTGCTTATGTGGGGCATCTATTTGTTTTGCGGTTCTTCGCAGTGAATGTTGACCTCAGATCTGCTCTACTCATACAAAGCACATTGACGCAAGCCCAGAAAGACAATATGGACGTCGTGAGACTTTCTCGATAGCAGCGCTACTTTGTAGAGAGTTGTGGGTTCTCAGCTTGATGCGAGTGCGGGAGCTAAGCTAAGCCCTTCTCTCTTGGCTGACGAAGCACGTGGTTATACAAGAGGAGGCGGAGGCTGGAGCTCCAAATGTTCCACCGGGCGCATTTTATCTGGAGCGTCGGTGTTCTTTTTGTCGGAACTTTTGTTTTTAGTGTTTTGTGCGTTGTGTGGCTTCTGAATTGGTTTTCAGCGCGACACTGTGTGCCCTACAATGTTGCGGCATTAAATGAGTCACATCAAACCGGCAGAGCCTCATTCACGTCTCTGTAATTACAATCAGGGGAAGAGCGTCTGAAAAAGACCCACCGGCAGCCTGAGAGAAGGTCCGCCTCGACGACTGTGGAACAGACAAAATGAAAGCCTCCCCATTCATCGGCCCTCGTTCCAATGATGCGCAAGCTATTTTATTGAGCTTCCTTTTGTGCCGGTGTAATGACTTAATCTCGGCACTACTAGGGCAAATTACTTTGTGCTCCTCTGACTCGGGCTCCCAAGAGGATTGCGTTTAATGCTTAAAAAGCACAGATGCGTTGTTTGTTCATTGTCAGTTATGGAGATTCTCGGCTTGGGTTCCGCTAGAAGCTGGTTTCATTTTTGCGGGCGGTGTGCATGTTGAGTCGGAATTAAGATTCTAAATGGTCTTTGTTCCCTCGCTTTTTATAGACTGTGCGTGGACTGAGCCGCGGTGCTTCACAGAGTGTTGCGCGCGGTGTTTTTCCTGTTGTTCGCTGTTGATAATGGGCCTGGGCAACACTTAACTCGAATGGAGGCCCATCAAGGCAGACCGATAAGGACCCGGGGATCCACTCCAGTCAATTACTATTAACGTGCCAAGTTGAACTCAGCGGGCCTTTTATGAAGTACTGCAGCAGAGTAAACAAATTAATTGTGCGTCCACGGTTGCCCAGCACAACAGCGTGGCCCGAGGCAATCATACATCTGGCAGACTGATGGCAGCTGTCTCCAGCGGGAAAGAGAAGGATCATGCTCTTAAACATAGAAAAACACCATGGACTCTATTTCCTATCGCTCGCTCGACGACATTGTTGGATCTCTATCAGCTTTTTGCACATTGACCATTTGAAGAGTGCCCAAAAACGTTCGCTCTTCTGAAGATGGTCGTTAAAATACATTTCCCTGATCCCAGTGGAGAAAATTTACCATCAATTCATTGGAATTACTTAAAAGGGACAGTCACCTCACACACGCACAATTTGAAGACACTATTACGACCAAATGCAATTGCGCGATATCATGTACCTCAGTCTCCCACAGCTGATGTCATGTTGTTCTTTCGACCACAAACTAGTTGACAACATTGAAGCTAACAGCGGCTCTGCTGCTTGCAGCCAAAGTTTGCCTCATTTACATGAATAATTCATCAATTCCAGGGTCGATTTGGTTCCATACTTTAGTGTCACGGTTCTATTTTTGATCGTTTTCAACCTGATTGAGCAATTTGACCCACTATACTGTGTGTGTGTGGATGTGTGTATATATATATATATATATATATATATATCAGGAACCGTAATATTTGGCAGCTCTGCAATCATGGGCTGGATCTGCTGAAACAGGCCACAAGTGTTCAAAGATCAAACTGGACTGAGCGGTTCTCCACAGATATCACTCCTAAACATTGTTGAAACTTTTGTCCCTGTGATAGACAGTACAAAAACAAGAGCCGTAAAGACGGTTTAACGCATGAGGAGCCGAGCCATATTTGTCTATTGAATTATAATTTGATTGAAGATTCAAGTGGAAGTTGGATAGAAACATCGTTTCGCTTGTGCTGAGCTGTAAATTTGACCTTGAAGGCAAAGAAACCACACACTTGGTATTTGTCTCATCTTCAGCTAGTGGATAAGGCAGACTGATCCGGTAATCAATATGGTGTACAATAATCTGCAGGCCCAGTGTGACTGGCTCTGTGGTTGTGTGGGCATGTGTGCTGTGCTTTGCGCAATCCTTCCACCCCTGTGCTACGAAATGAAGCATAACTTGCGTCAAAGGATGTTGATCTAAGGCGCATCAAAAGATGTCGATGCTTCGAATCATATTTGATCCATGAATGATTTACTCATTGAATTTGGAACTTAAATGAATAAACAAAACCAGTCATCTTACTTTGAAACAATTCCCAGCGAATAAAAAATATTTTTGCTCATGAAACATGAATTCCTCCCATGGCCATTTTCATTTTTGATGACACTCATGAATATTCCATTCAAAAAAGGTTCACGTCATCCAATTTTAGGAGAAGGGATTTAAGTATAAATGAAAGCAATTTGCTCCAAATGTTTGTAAACAACACTGAATTGAATTTGATATCTATTTCATACACCGATTGCACTTAAGTCCAATTTGTTCATTTGATTGTTTGATCAGGGACAACCGGTTCAAAATAAGAGTCTTACTTGCACATTGCCTACAATACCATAAGACAACGGTTGTATTACGCCTCTTGAGCCAAATAACCTTTCCACTATGCATAGACACCCCCCCCACCCCCGCAAAAAAAGGCTTTGCACACAATTTTACCCAATATTTCTCAGTATCCATCTCATAAAAGCATAGAGCGTTTTGGCTTTATTTCAGGTCGTTAACTGCAAGCTTTCTCTGTTGGCAGATCTTCCGAAGATGTTGGCTGGTATTCAAAAAGGCGTCCAGTAAAGGGCCCCGCCGCTTGGAGAAGTACCCTGATGAGAAGGCCGCCTACTTTAGGAGTTTCCACAAGGTACAAATGACACGACCCAGCCCAGACGATAATAATTTCCCCATTTTTTTATTTTATTTTTTCATTGGATTGTAGCGGCATCCCGCAGGTACCCATCAGCCATTTCTCGAGCCCCACAAGCCAAAAGGACCTGATAGGACTTTTTCTTCAGCCTGACGACATCCTTTAACGCAATAGATATTGCCAATAGGCCCATACAACGCGTTTGTCCCCTGCGTCATATTTTCAAATGGGCCGTCCCGCGTGGCGACACACGACCCTCCACCGCCCCACGGGGCTTCTCATCTCATACAAACCGGTGGCCAAGTGAGCGATGGGCAGGCACACGCACCAGCGCGCTTGCTAGCGCTTCCCCACAAAGCTCAAGAAAAAGATCGTCTGAGGCCTTCATTTGACGCCGCTGTGATTTGGGCAGAAATAGGCTGCACTGGTGGCTGATTTACACACTCAACACAAAGAGGATTGGCTGTGTCCACCGCTTTTCTCCCCATCTCCATACTCTCCCTCTCTTTGCCTGAGTCGCTCGACACAATAACAGAAATCCGCAATCTTTTTAGCACTCCAAAAGGATGTTTGGGGGTTTTTTGTGCCTCTCTTGTGGCTTCCGGACAATTATATAAATAAATAAATAACAATAAAAACAATGTCATGCTGGAATGTCAGTGGCGCAGGCAAAACATTTTGGTGCTAATATGAGATTAAAGACAACACCTTTCACTGCAAAAAAAAAAAAAAAAAAAAAAAATGAAAGTCAGCTAGGATGTGAAATGGGACTCATCTCAACTGATTCAACTTTTTGCCTGAAGCTGGGAAGGCAACCAAATATTTTCCTTCCATATACTGCCCCCCCCCCCCACACACACACACACACACACGCGCACGCACGAGTCAATGGATGCTGGAATCCATGGCTCAGAAATTCCCTCAGATGATGCTCTCTTTGTTTCCGCTTACCTGAGGCCACAATATTGTATCTACACGTCCATAAAATATTTGGATACCCTCCTGGCGGGCGATAAGAACACCCAAATGGCATCTTTTCACATTTTTATTATTGTCTCATAATGTCTCCGTAACTTGAGTTACAATCGTAATGGATCTTTTCATAATTTATAGTATCAGAAACAGGAATGTGGGGTCGCCATGTCTTGTCTACATGAGACAGAGCCGGCTTTTAATCTTTAAGCTCTCCATTACAGCCCAGCTAATTCATTGCCAGCCTCTTTGGCAAAAGGCCTTCTGCAGTTAGTCCACGATGGACTGCAGTCATGGAAGAGGCCTCGTCGTCAAGGCTGAGTCATGTAGAACATAACAGCCTGGAAATATGGGCGACATTCAATCGAATGGAATCTTTTTGTTTCGTGCGGGATTTGTATGTATTTATTTTTTGCATTCTACATTGATCTCTTGGCTTCAGGGATTTAGATGCATTTGATTGCACCTTTTTATTATCTGAAACGGTAGATAGGGGATGCAGGTAGTCATACGGAGCCTTTTAAAACGTGCATGCACGTGTAAGCCTTGACTTCGAAAGAGAGACAGTGTTTATGTGCAAACGCCTCGAAACTACAATTGCACTTTCATCAGAGCGGCACAAGAGGGTCAATTAAGCATCACTGCCGCCGTTGTCTGCGCTCAACTGAGTTGTAATGTGCCGCTGTCAATTGTGCCCCGTTTAGATCACGGAGCTCCATAATATCAAGAACATTAGCAGGATGCCGAGAGAGACCAAGAAACACGCTGTGGCCATTATATTCTGTGACGACACATCCAAGACATTTGCCTGCGAATCAGGTGAGCCGCCCCCCCCACCCCTTTTTTTTTTCTCACAAGAGTTTCACATTTACAAAAACATTTTGGATGATTGTGATGATTTGTTTTCCGAATTTTAATAGAAGCACAGATAATGTGTGTGACCCACAGATGGAAGAAATTTAACACAACACCCGGTCCATTTCTTTATAGTTAATGACCTTGTCAAATGAATTCAGAGATATATATTTTTAAATGCGTTATACATGTTGGAGGCTCGTTGCTGAAAATGCACAAAGACTGGGAACTATGCACCCTCATCCTGAGCTGTGGAGACATACTTCAACAGTTTCCCACCATGTGGCCCAAAACGCATCCATGTAGGTTGCCACAATTTACACAACAGCCGGATGTTATTTTCTTCAAATTCACAAGCGAAGCGGTGATACCTCACAGAAGCCCTTTTTTTAAACATTTCCCAAATATTCTCTTGGTGCGCATGGTTTGTTTTGTTGCGTTCACCAGCCGCCGTATTTTTGCTCATAATGCACCGCCTCTGTTTGTTTAGCTCCTTTTCCACTCGGGCCTTCAAATTGCAGGAGGTACCGACAGGCCATAGTAACTCCGAAAGGGAGCGTGCGAATCGGGGGAAGCATTAAGTAGCTGCCTCCTGTGTGTAAATGTAGTTCTGCTTTCTGATGTCTGTGAATGAAGCGCTTCAGGCGCCAACAGACCATCCGCTCACCCCGCTAAGCTGCGCAGATACGTCCCCGCTGGAAACGCGTAATGCAATGGAGTGCGCCATGAATGAAACTGAAGAGACCGCCACTGATAATCACACGCACATAACGTTGTTTGACGGAGAGAGACAGAAACACGACGGCGCCGCGTTGGTGATGCACTTCCGGATGCGTTTCTGTTCATGTCACTGACCACGGGTAGGCTTCCCGAAATCCCACTGGGATTTGGAGGCAAGGAGCCGGCCGGCAAAGATAAACAACTCGTGCTTTAGCCTCATTTCATACATGGGCGGCTCCCAGCAGAAGCTCACAAGAGACAATTGGGAGTCTTCTCCGAGGAGAACGTGATCTGTTCTGACTCATCAGGAGAGAAAATTGGTATCCGCAACCAAAACAACCACAGAAACTTACTGATTTTGAAAAATGACATCATTTGTCCATAACAAGCCTGGCATTGAAAGAAAAAAAAAATCTGTCCAACAATAAATAGCATGTGTTGGGAATTTCATGTTGATATCTTTGTTGAAGGACCCTTTCCCACTGCCATTGAAAACAAGGGCAAATTCAGAATCCGTGCAAAACAACATCAACAACAAAAAAAAGATGACTAGCCTGAATGCATTGGATGCTAACCAGCAGCTATTCCAACGCTGTGCTGCCGTGTGGCCACATGCAGAGCTGGATGCGGAGGAATGGTGCAAGCTACTGAGCGTGGAGTGCCTGGGCAGCCGTGTCAACGACATCAGCCTGGGCGAGCCAGACTTGCTCGCGGCGGGGGTGCAGCGGGAGCAGAACGGTGAGTGCCCAATTAGGCCCCGCTTGCACGGACAGCCTTCGCGGCTCACTCTGCTGCGTAGAGCTGCCTGGCTGATGAGGACCACTTTTTGTCTATACCTGCCCCCCGTTAGTACATCGGTACATGTTTGTGAAGTATGCGCTGTGGCAAACATGAGCGTGAATCTGCGCGGGTCACAGGCTGCGGTCAGGGCTCTGCATGTTCCAGGCCCGAATGCGAAGTGCCATGCATCGCCGGCCTCCCTCGTAATGAAGCTTGTCACGGAGATGGATGAGATTATGCTTCCAAAGCTGTGGGAAATAAATGTGCTCCTCCCCCACACATTCCGCTCGCAGGAAATGGAATGGAGCTTATTCGCTTCTATAGTTTGGAACGAGGCAAAGGCAACAGGCAATCATCAAAAGTGTTTGTCCAGTAAAAACAAGCGTGACATTTTCGTGTAACTTTAAAGTCAAATTTCACGGGTCCCTAGGCATCGCTCTCTCGCAGCGACAAGACAATGGCTGAAGTACTAAGTTACAAGAGGCAAAGGCCTGCAGTCGTGTTTCAATTAGTAGCCCGCCTAACCCCACCGAGCTGCAGGAAGCCATCATTAGATCAGAGTCGCCTAAAAATACACCGAGCGATGACATTGCTATTTTCTATCCACTGCAGACACAGGGCTTATTTTGGAGTCATTGAGTGTAATTAGTGAGAAGCCATTTAGATTATTGAGAAGCCCCCACTGCCTCTGACAGCTAAATGGGGTAGAAGAGGGAGTGGGGGAGGGAGGCATGTACACCTCCCTCCCAAATCTGGAACCACTGCAAGGTAACTCATGCAACAATATATTCATCTTCATTGGATAAAGTTGAATTTGCAAGCACCGGAGCGGTCAATCGTTTGGGTCCACTTTTTATTCAGGACCAATCCCGGGGGGTCCTGACTTCATCTTTCAGCCGCGCCCTTCAAGTTACGCGGAATTGATTTTTAGAATCAACAGAAACAGCCAACTCAACAAAGTCATTCGTCTTCATGTTGGTTTTATTAACAATACATCAACAACAAAGAAACTCAAACAAGGCCAGCCGTGAAGAGGTGAATTTTTTTGGTTCGTGAATTACATGAGACGGAGAGACAACATTTGATCGAATATTAAGGCCCGCTGCACATCTCTCACTCTGCCAAATAATCCATCTCTCATCGTTTTTTGCTAATCCTTCCAACGTTTTGTAAGATTCCAACAAAGCCTCATTCCAGAGAGGTTTTCGTTTTTTTATGGAGGCTTTGATATTGACAAATACACAGCTGTTGCATTTTCAGGAGTCAATGAAAATATGCGTTGTGCAAAGGGTGACGGATCTGTTGACTATTGGGGTTTCTGCGGTGGCATTTTGATCCAGCTCTTGTGGCTTCAATTATTTACGTCCGATAGTAAATCTTCGAAGGGGAGAATATCCGTGTGTGTTTGGTGAGAGTAAATATGCTCTGACTTGTTCAAATATGGGACTCCAAGGTCCTGAGAAATTGGAATTTTTCAACCGCTGAAAGTATATCTTTGAGGGGAACTGCATATTTCATATTTTATTCATATGTTTTTGTAATCTATAAAAAATGAAAATAAATAATTACTCTTCAATTATGATGAAACAAACGCATCGGATTTCTGCTTGGACACTGGCCCTGGGGGTATTCATTTATTCCACTACGGATGGTGGGGAGGTGTCTATTTGTCAGGAGACCTTCATAAGGAACAATATTGGCAGCGTCGTACAATGATGTCAAATGAAGCTGGAGTTGAAACCAAGAATTGATGCAGACTGGATTTTCATCGTCAAGCGGATGGCATAATCACTAGATGAAGTGACATAGTCGTGACAATTTGAATCACATTATGTAGCGTTTTTCTGTGAGGATAACTCTTTAGAACCTTGGCGAGTCACTGTTTAATGTAATATCTTGCTGTTTATTTTTAGAGCGTTTCAACGTGTACTTAATGCCCACCCCGAACCTGGACATCTACGGGGAGTGCACCATGCAGATCACCCATGAGAACATCTACCTGTGGGACATCCACAACGCGCGCCTCAAACTCGTCATGTGGCCTCTCAGCTCGCTCCGCAGATACGGTCGAGACTCCACCTGGTTCACCTTTGAGTCCGGAAGGTGCGTGAGCGAGCTCTAAAAATACGTCCTGGCTATCTTCTGCGTCAGCGTGTATGATTGTGCTGTAGAAAATAAGTGCTTGGGAAGCGTCAGAAAAACTTCCCAACTCAAGTGGAATTGTTGAAAGTTGCCAGGATATCATCGTGCGCTGCGGAGGCCTCGGGGCGACGCGTTGACTCACCGTCCTCCGATGCATGCGTGTGTGCGTGCTCTTGCATCAGCGTGTCTCTCTGGAAGCGTGCAGTCAAGCGTGTGCTCCGAACAGCGAGCGCCGTCAAAGTGTGTTTACGTCCCCTTTGCTTTGCCGCGCGTGTGCTTGTTCCGGGGCGCAGGATGTGCGACACGGGCGAGGGCTTGTTCACGTTCCAGACACGAGAGGGGGAGATGATCTACCAGCGCGTCCACTCGGCCACTCTGGCCATCGCCCAGCAGCATGAGAGGATGATGGAGGAGATGGAGAAAAGCTCGCAGGTACCTTCGCACCGTTCGCATACATTTCACGCAAAAGGTGATTCACTCTTCACGCATTTCACTTTTTAACATGACATCTTGATATCTTTTCCCCACAACACTTCGAATGTCTCATGTTGAGTTCTGTCATCCTTTTGTCACGCACGGTCCAGTCAACACACTGAATTGTTGCACCTGATGCGTTCCTTGTCCGTCCCCTTGCAGGTGCGCTCTTCAGAGATGCTCAGCAAGTCCATTTCCCTGCCCCGCAGTGCCTACTGGCAGCACATCACGCGGCAGAACAGCGTGGGGGATCTCTTCAGTTACCAAGGTGAGCACATGAAGTTTGTTACTATCGTGCTCTTGTTGTTTCTTTTTGTTGTCATGGTTCATTTTTACGCTTGGGAGGACGAGAGTGTGGCTGGATGAGACTTGTGGGAGTTCAGAGCATACAGAGAGAGCTTTCCGCAACCCATACAAAAAATCAAATCAAATGAATTGATCAATATGCTGCTTACATCAGACCAATATACAGTATATGGCTCTGCAGACAGCAGTAAAGGGGAAGGAGAAAAATATGTTCTATGCACCTCCACTATTAATATCGCATTTGTGGAATATCAATTAAGCAGAAAAATGCACCCGTTTTTGTCCACCTTGGGGGCTGCCATTTTGCCTTGGGCTGCCACTTCCTGTCAACTGAAAATGACATCACAGCGCCAAAGGGCTTCGATAACGGTTTCATGGGTTTTGTCACACTCGCAACCAGAGCCCTGAGACATTATGAAGTCATTTTAAGTTTAAAAATATTATTATTATGATTATAAATTTCTCGATCATATTCCAGCAAAGGCATACCTCTTTTAAAAAATGCAAATCAGGTTAATGATGTACCTTGTGCCATCTAGTGGAAGAGGATTCAGTTGTTCTGCCTGTCACGGCACACCATTGGCAGGGATACGGCAAATGAAAAGCAAGTACACATTGTTTCGAGAAAATAAAAGAATAATTTTCAGAACAATTAAGTGAAATTGGATGACCACAGCACACCTGATGATCACTTATGGCATACTAGTGAGGCACAGTGGTTGGCAATCACTGTTCACGATTAGATTTTGGATTGATTTAGAGTACATTGGTGGTTTAGTAGCATTCGTGGTTGCTCATTAGCAACGGTCCCCAGTCCTTTTGGGCAACAACAGCTGCGTGACAGTGCACCGCTGCACACAAGATGAATATCCAATCAGCACAGCCAATTTGCTGAGTCACCCTCTGATTGCTTTTAAACAGGTCCAGGGGACCGATTAAGACACACTTGTTTATTTCTCAATATTTCACCACATCACTTGCAATTCCTGGATTATATATATATATATATATATATATATATATATATATATATATATATATATATATGGAATGCATAAAGATGCCAGGATAAAGAGGGAAATAAATGACTAAATATGTATGATTCGTTTGTCTTTTTGGGGGACTTTGTTGTTATTTATTTTAATTGTAATTGTTATGTATTTTATATATTTTGATGTTTTCAACATTTTTTGAGGGTTTGTGAAAAGGTTGCAAAGATGTTAACAGACAATTTTTACTTGGCCCAAAGAGTTTTCTTGTCACCATAACATTTTGAACATATTCAAACCTTAATTTAGTGAACAGTTCTGGGAGTGATAAAACTTTACCTGTACTTCAGGTTGCTCTAACGTGTGAAGCTGATGACTTCACGTCTGTCTGAATGCTCCCTGAAAAGAAAAAGAAAAAAGGAAGTGTACAGTGACTTTTGGGACACCATGTCTACACTGTAAATTTCAACACATGGGTGTAATGTTTGTGCTTTGCATTGGACAGCAACAACATGCTTGAATACATTAATAGATATTATAGATCACCTCTTCCTGTTTGTTCTATATGTGATGAGCACGTGTGATTGAATTTATTATAAAGGCCACTAAACAGCCTTGAAAGCACGGTGGGCACACATTAGTGCTCAAGGGCCACATTTGATTTTGAAATCTGACAGATGGGCCTGATGGATGAGGTTAAATATGATGGAATGTGTGAACAGATGTCAAATAATTTCTTTGAATCCCAATTTTACAAGATGCTTGAATGTGATGTATTTGAATAGAAGAGGTAAGAAAATGTATTTTGCAATGTGGTGTTCGGTTGGTTGTGTCAATAAAATAATCAGTTTATTTTTTTCCTTGAATAATTTAACTGAAATTAATTTCATATCAATTCAAAAGTATTCATGCAAAATGCAATCAATGTAATGGAAGTGAAATCAATGTTTTTTTAAGGTTAAGGTTTATTGATTAAGGTATACTTTTGTAGAATTGATTACTTTAATAACGTTTGCCATTTTTCCATCACGTTTGCTTTGAAACCAACATCATACTTCAACTTACCACAGTTAAGTACCACAACAAGCAGTCTCGCCTTTTTCTTTTTCTTGCAGCGAGCAGCATGTCGATGACGTTCATCCCTCGAGCGCAAACATTTCCCAACTTTTTGTCACGCGAGCCCGAACGGGAAGCGGAAGAAGGGAAGGTGGAAGAAGGAAGGCGGCGCCAGGAAGAGGCGCCGTCGCCCTCTAGTGGCCGAGCAGCAACTTGCAGCCTGAGGCCGCCTCAATGACAATCGACTGACTTGACTGGCCGAGGACACTTGCTGGAGCCCAACCCCACTGTAGACGCTCACGTGCAACCGTATGTCTTCTGTGACGTCATATGCAGATATGGTCGCCCTTGTTTTGTATGTCGCGTGACAGAAGTAGCGTCTTTCAAGGCACCATACTTGTTTAAATAAATGTCCTTTTTTATGTTAGAACCGGAATCTGAAGAACGTGTGACGTCACAGTGGCATGTCCAATAGAACACCTTATTAAAGCTAACATATCAGTCCCATTACACTCTATTTAAGATACAGTAATGTCTAAATTTGATTGTCACCATTCGCTAGATGTTTGTTGATTATTGTGATTGTAGTTTGCACTGGAGCCCATGAGCTGACGAAGTGGCCACTGGAAAGATCAATTGGAAACAGCAGTTCGAAATCAATTGGGAATGTCATTGTTTCCTTCCTTATCCACAGGTATCTTGCTGAGAAAGCCTAGTAAAATCAAATTATACGAAATATATCATAGAGTTGTCCGAGCCGGTCTAGTCCCTCTCCCTCCCCTTTTCCATTTTCTGTCCTCACGGAAGAAGTGCCTTCAGACCCATTGAGACCTCCTGTAACCTTCTTATTGTGGCTTGTTCTAGTGTACACAAAAGTTAGCACTGTCTCGCCTGTAACACACCTGCTGGCACATTCATATCTTTTGTGCGAAATGCAGAAAGGATGACACCATATCAAAATTTTCAAGGTCCTTTGGTGGCAATTTATTTGAATGTTATTATATAGTTTGTGTAGAAACAAAGGCCGTAGGACTGAGAGAAATGTACAAGCACTTCATTGTTCCACAGTTCCCCTCAAGTGTCACTTTATTTAATGTGGGCGTGTGTTGAAGAAAATCTGTAGACATCATGTTTGTTTAAATGTGTGGTCAGATTACATCGATAGCACTTTCATTATGTTTCAGTTTTCACTCAATGTAAATATGTTTTTTGATGACAGAGGTAATAAACTTGAATGTTCTCTCATGTAGCATTTGTCTCCCTCAACACTTTTTTTGTTTTATCCGGTTGGAACCAGTGACCTGGACGGTGGTACCGACCCCTACAAAGACAAAATATATTGTAGACAGTCACTGAATTTGTGAAGCGTCCTCTTAATTCTAATATTCCGGAACATGACGGAAGGGGAAAAGAACTCCAAAGATGGCTCTGTTGTTCCATGTAGTTGACGTCTCAGTAGACTTGCCCGCAAAGCTCTGCCGCCCACCACCGTCGCCATTGCTAGGGAGGTACAGATAATAAAGTTTCAGTGTGTTGTATGCGGAAGGGATAAACCTGTAAAAGACAAATCATTTTGTATGCTCTCTCTATATCACGGATTTTCACCTATCACAGATGGGTCTGCAATGTACAACTCCGATAAATGATTAAGTTAGCAAATAGTTCAAATGTCCGCTTGGAGGTCTTACGTGTGGGTGAGATGGGTGCAGTTTATCTCTGCTCTCTTCTCGTCTGATCTTCTTCCTGTGGTGTTCATATCATACTCTCATCCACCATTTTTAAGGTGAAAAAAAGATTCTAATGTATACGTCTGATCTTCTTCCTGTGGTGTTCATATCATACTTTTTCATCCACCATTTTTCAGGTGAAAAAAAGATTCTGATGCATAAAATAGTACATGATTTCTGATTAAAAAAAAACAAAAAAACAGCATACTTTGCCTACACTCTTACCTGCGCCTCAACAAGACGATGAGCAGCACCGTCAGTAAAATCAGTCCAGCAGTTGCAATCGCCAAGTAAATATACAGCATGAACACAGACAGGCTGAAGCCACCTGATAATGACATGACAGCCAAAAATGAGAAAGAACATTTTACTGCAAATGTGCTCAGACCGAATTTGATTTTTACCAAATCAATTATCTAGCACAGAATGTTTTTTGTGTTTCTTTGTTTGTTATTTCATCAGTGATACAGAGCACTGGTTGAATTGCGTAAAAATAACTGACATGTTAATGCTTATTTTTGTGTCCCCCTGATTTGGATTCAGGCTGTGAGTCGGCGTGGCTAGCATGCATTCATTGGCCACGAGGAGCAGTTTTGATTGCGCGCCATGAAATCTGCCTGGCGACAACAATCGGAGCAAATACGATCGGAATCCTGTGGCGTGGCCTTTTACCTGACGCTGACACCGTGACCAAGACGGTGTTGGTCTGCAGGCCGGCGTCCGTGCTGAAGCTGCAGCGGTACAAGCCGCCATCTTCCTGCGCCACAGGGGTCAGTTGCAGACTGACGTCCATGCTCTGCTCGCAGCTGACCTGACCGCGCTCGCTGTAGTCTTCGATCAGCACGCCGCCCTCCACCCGCTTGCATATGCCGATGATGACCCACGGTTGACCCAACGCCATGTGCTCCACGACGGCCTGGTGCACGCTGGTGCCGTTGTGCTCGTGATTGCACTCCACGGTTAGATTGCTGCTGGGTGTTGCCGTCACGTACACGTCCGCCTCCACGACCTCGGCGTCGTCTTCTTTATCTTCCTCTGGAGGCTCGTCTGCGTTCACGGCAAGCAACTTATTAAAGGAAACTCAAATTCAGCGTGATGGCAAGTAGAGAAACGTCATCGACGGTTACCTAAGTCCTCCACCTGAATGTTTCTGATCCAAGGGCCTTGGGGGAACGTCTGGACAGAGCAGTGATAAACGCCAATGTCCTGATGGGTGACGTTCTTCATGGATATGCTTCCGTCCATCGGGGTGCTTCTCAAGAATTCGATCCGCTCACGGTAATGGTAAGTGGTGGCTACTCCGTACTCTGGATGAAAAACGGCGATGGAATTGGTGTCTGGGTCTTTGGTCCATGACACCATGGTGAGGTTCCCGTCCCAGGGGCACAAGCAGTCGAGGATCATCCCCTCCTGTAGGTGGATCGTGACCGTCTCGATCTCCGGCGCGGTATCTGCACACGCTCCTTTATTTGGTTGACCAAAATCACAACTTTAGGAAGGGTCAAAGCCAGGGCTAGAATAGCTTGGGATTATACATTTGGTTAGTTCTGGGTTTGCAGGCACTCTGGAGGCCAAAATATTTGTATGCAAGCAATTCAAATAGATCTTACAGCTTTTATGATAGACAGGGCTTTGGTCTGGGAACAAAACCAGGAATGAGATGAGTTTTGCAGCAAATAAAAAAAAAAAATTCCACCAATAGGTGACTTCAAATAGATCTTACAGCTTTTATGATAGACAGGGATTTGGTCTGGGAACAAAACCAGGAACGAGATGAGTTTTGCAGCAAATATACCAATAGGTGAATTTAGAGGAGAAAATAGGGGAGTTGAATCAACAGTGTCTCTGCTGGTTGCAGTCAAGTACTGCACTCTAGTTGACCTCAAGACACAATTCATCAGTACACAATTCCACACTGCAACCGTAGGCTTAATGATCAGCATTTCGATTATCGGGCCCACATACTGGTTCTGATCAAACTTATTACAAACACAAACAAAATTAAGGGTATGGTAATTTGTTGTGTATTCCACCCCCCACAAAGAGTGAAAGGCACGAGCTTTGAATAAAGCCAATGAGTGGTCACATTCACAAAAGTGACATTAGAACACAGCTTTATTCTGAGCTGAATTACAACTGTCAGGATAATTGTCGACTATTTTTATTCTGACAAATGATTTACAACAAAAGTTAAATGTTCAGGAGAAGCACTGATGAGATGAAAGCCACCAACACTATATTGCATTCAAATAAATTACACAAATTCATTGAGTCAAAACACTTAAGTAACCTTGTGATTAAAATAAAACAAATCAGTCTATTTTGCTCCATACCTTGAAGAAAAGGGAGGAAGACGAGTGCCATGAAGTACCAGCGCTCCTTTTGTACGACTTCCATCTTGGCCCGGCCAAGGAGAATGAAAGCTGCATTGATGAGACGAGTGGCACGGCACCCGAGCTGCAACTTCCTGCTCGCTCTCGGCCCACAGAGACACAGCACACACTTCATATTAGCTTGCCGCTAGCTCTTTGCACTTGCGCACACACACACACACACACACACACACACACACACACACACACACACACACACACACACACACACACACTCTGATCTCTCCCGGGAAAATCTTTTCCGATCCTATATTGACCTTCATGACAAAGTTAGGATGACAACAGTCAAACATCCTGCCAAGTTACACATTAGTGTAATTTTTATAAACAATGAAACGAGACAATTTTGGGGCCTCTCAACAGCATCATCATTATAAACAGTAAAGTGCAGTACTAAAAAATACAATTAGTCTTTGACTTAAGTATATTAAAGAAGGAGTCGACAAACTTACAATGTTGCCCACTGGCACTTTAATAAGAAAATATTTGCTAAGTATTGTACATGGTAATCAATACACAAAATGGAAATCATGTGTTTAGCAGTTGGGAGAGGTTTTCAAGACACTTCAACAAATGGGCGAATAAAGGCTCCTGTTGGTTTTCAGCATCTGTGATGTAAAAAAGAAAAAGTCATGAAAAAAGAAAAGAAAGGAAGAAAAAAAAAAGGCTTAAAATGATTCATGAAAATCAGCGGCGGATATGAATCAAAGCGAAGGCGTACCCTTCTTCGACATGCGGTGGGCTTCCTCGATCCTCAGTCGAACCGCAGGACACTTCAGGGTAATCTTAGCCTTGGAGGAGAAAAGAAAAAAAAGATGGACATTTTGTGTTCAGTCAAAGACCAGCACAGTTTTTATAATTAGGACTTGATCACGTGGGGATAAAAAATGCCGGTCAGCTACATTCGAAAGCCTTTCCAAAGATTTACAGGGACAGTGGCAGATACAGCTTCTGCTTTTATTTCCACTTGGAGATAAAGCCCAAACTCATCCAGTGCCCGCGAAGGGGGTGTGTGTGCGTGTGGATGTACCCTTTGGTTATTATGGAGCAATGCCCAAAGTGCGGACGCTCCTATGCAGCACATTTCCATTTCCTTACTTTCCAGACAGCAGAAAAGGACCGTCATAGCTTTGTCTGGAGGAAAAGAAATAGAAAAGGTGTAAAAACAGACAAAAATGCACAAAACACGAGCAGGTATAATCAAACCATAACTGACAGACACAGGAAGCTTTCGAAGCAAAAGAAAAATATGGCCAATTTAGTCACCGCAACCCGAAACTGTAGCTGGCAATGTCGAAACAGAGACTCGGGGGTCCTTATTCACAGTTTTCACCGCATGCGTGCATCGTGGGCTTTGTGCCCTGAAATAAACTGCCGGCCCAGCCTAGCGTTGTAGTAGTAGTAGTCGTCGTCTCAATTCAGAAAAGCCAGCATCCATACACAAACACACACACAAACACACACACTAATAATTACGACTACTCTCATGTCAGTGGCATAGATAGTTGAACACAGATACATTATTCGTAGGCAATAAATAATAATTTTGAGAATCGCTGCCACAAGCAACCAAACGAGGTCACTGCTCATGCAGCTAATTAGTCCAAATTCTATTCCCCTTGCTCCCCTTTTTCATACCGTTGGCAATGACATGTGGTTTGTTGGCGGGACAAAAGCACAGGTTGTGAAGGGTGAGCAGCGCGGTGCGTCGATGCGGCGCCAGATCCACCAGCATCTCCAGCGCTCCCGTCACCCTGAGGATACTTTGCTGGCCGTCGTCCGAAAACGACAGATTGACCAGCAGCCTCAGCCACAGACCGATCAGGCTGCTGCAGACGCTTGCACCCCTGGCGCCACCCACCTTGGGCATGGGCACAGAGGTGAAGGCTTGCAGGAAGTTGTTCTGGGAAAAGAAAAGAAAAAAAAAAAAAGAAAAACAATTGGAAGCAGATAGAGATCAGTTCTCATACATTTTACAAATCTAGATATATGGATCCCATTCAGTTCTTCCCATTCAATCCTATTTGACCAATCAAGCGACAGCAGTGTGTCAGGCTCCACCCTACGACTAGCTTCTGACTACGGTGGGACAAATTTTACCTTCTGCAAGACGCCCCGACAGTCACGGGACATAACCAAGTTAGCCAGCAAGGAGAAGGAAAGCTTCTGGATGGCGCTGTTGTCAGGGGCGATGCCTGAAGCCAACTTCATGATGGAGTGCATTAGCGAGCCACTTGCGGTGCCTTTTGGTCCTGACGCGACACCAGACCCGCCGCCACACACAGAACTGCATGCTGGGACATGAGAAAAATAATGATTACAAGTCAATTCATTCATCAGATATTGTTGAAGATGTGGGCTAATCTCTCTGAATGTAAACATTAACTTTAATTAATTAAGGTAATGCCCTGTCTAATATAAAAGCTACTTTGGTGTCATCTTGGGGTGTCTTGATGCCAAGGAACTAGGTTGAAGTGAGGTGAGAAGCTTCATGCGTATCAATCCTGTGGCATTTATGGACAATTACAAAATTATTTGTGGATTTACTACTTGCAGCAGAGCTGAATTTGGCCTTTGCAAATAGCAGGGTAACACTATATGAAAGTCCTGTATATCCATTCTTTAGTCAAACCAAAATAGTTAGCAATCCTGCTAACAAAAAAACAAAAACAAAGTGAAGAACAGGGTTGAGAAGTATTACTTACTCTCTTCCTCACTTTGGAGGTAGCAGTTGATTGCTATTTATCTTAACGCTATCCAGAAGCACCAGAGTTGCGCCGAATAATATTAAAAAATCAAAAACAAAAAACGAGACGGCAGGCTGCACGGATGTCTGCCCGCCACACCAAAACATCTTTGCACGGCTGCACGCTGTCTGAACGTGTGTCATAAATAAAGAACAAGAGTTGAGTTACTGCACATAGACAAAATATTAACCCAACCTTTGCGGAAAGTGTCGACCACCAAGCCAAGCTCATTAATAACAACAGCAGTGAGTTTTGAAGCAATTATGGAGGTCATACATGTTAACTGATTGTTGCTCTCCGGGTGGTTGTTACAGTGCTATGACTTTAATCAATTTTCTTCTCTTTGGAGAAGTAACATAAAATAAATGAAGATGATTTTCTTTTCTATGCAAGCGTTTTTTGTTTTTGAAGCAGGTAACAGACTTGTTGAATGTTGCTGCTTGTTGGTGATGTTAATTCCGGCAGAGTAACATATGTATGCTAATGTTCGCCTCGGGCTCTCTCAACACCAGCCGAGGCATATCGTCTTCATTATGGACCTATTTCCCGCAGTCAGATAAATAATTTGCAGCTATGCGTCAAGGATGATGTCTTTTTTTCCTCCCACATTTTGGGAGGGATTCTCATCTTTTTTAATGTTGACATTTTTCTGGCTAAAACAATATGTGTCAAAGTATGCACGGATTAAAACAAACTGACTGCAAATAAGGCCTTAGATGAAAGGCTTGAGATGAAACATTCACTTTTCTCTCTGGAGACCCGACGGTAGCCGGAGGGCGGATGGTGTAACATTAAGCCTAACTGCACGCAGCCTCAACACAACCTGCTGTTCTGTTAACCCTTTGGGAAAAACCACTGGCTGACTTCAGTACTTTCTGATGCCTCATAGCTCTCTGCTTATATGGCTGAGGGATGCGGGGTGGGTGTCAATAGTGCCGGCCCCCGCTGAGGAAGCAGTGCCAATCAAATCGAAATCTACACAGCGCCAGAAAAGCGGCTCACAAGTCTCGCAAATAAAACCTCCGATTTCCATCGCACACGTGCCCTGGCGCGTACGCATCAAAGGGACCACAAGCTATTTATCAAAGTAACATTTCCCAGTTTCCTCCCTGCGAATCTTGACTTTTCTTCTACTGAAAAACTGCTTTTTCTTTCAAGCCTCTCGGCATGCAGACTTCCAATTAAACCGGAATACTAATTACTGAGGCAGAACAGAGAGGCTCCAAAAATGATCTCCCTCGGGTGTGAAATCCGCTGTCGCGCACACACAGCGAGACGGCCTCTCCTCGGCACACTGTGGGCATTGTGGCGCGCCGGTCTTTGCACTGGGACACACAATGCTCAGTGGTGAGTGCAGCGGACAATGGCCGCATTGGACAAATATGAAGCGAGGCACAGAAGAAAAACGGAACACATCTGAGACATATAGAAACCTTTGGGGCAGTCGGCGGTATAGACGCAGAGGAGCTCCAGCACTGCCTCCATGATGGAGTCGTCCAATAGGAGCCATGGCCAAAGGGCGTGCAACACCAGTGTGAGGCATGTATCTTTGGCCAACACCTATGCAAACGGGAAAACACAAAGCCCTCATACACAAGCACACGGAGGTGTACGGTTCATGGGAAGTTATATTTGATCATTTTGCCCCACAATGGATTTGAAATGCAAAGTAAAACAAGACACTCTCCAAACACATTCTGGTGCACCAAGTCATACTCAATGCTAACAAGGCACTTCCAGTCTACTTGGTGTGTTGCTTCCTTATTTTGTCATTGGCACTCAAATTTATAATCGCAGACTACAGACTGAGTTGCATCCTTTGCTTGCAGCCAGTCACCATGGCGTTGCTGCTCATAGGCAAGCCACATCAACCAGACCACTCCAATAACAAAATAAAGCTCATGAATACGCTTGATGAGTCACTCTTTTTATGTGGAGCCATACACGTTTTAGGGGGAACGCCGAGCCTAATTTGAAAGCACAGCGTTGGGTACTCAGAGCAACCATTTTAAACCAATTAGCAGCAGGGAATTAAAAGGCAAGACACAGAGGCTCACTTTGCATTCCCGGTTGCGGTAGATAGCACTTCGCAGGATCTCCGCAGTCAGCTTAACTTCCTTTAAGTAGCCCTCTTCCTGATGATGTGGAAAAAGACAGTCAAATTAAGCGCTTGCACAGTCACACACCATATTTGATAACTAAATACGTGCGGACAATGGCACCTCGCTAAAGTGGCAGATTCATGCAATTCCTCATCGACACAAAGTTAAAAAAAGGAAAAGAGCACAATCAAAGCCAAAATTACAACTAGATAACACAGAACAGTCTATTACACTTATTCATCATTATTTTGAATGTATTACCGATGTAAATTACACCTGAGGCTCCGAACATATCACCACCGTTTGGGG